TTCATGCATTTACCTGCATGGCCATCCGTTGCGTTTCTTATTACGAGTAAATATCTTTTTATTTCGTGAAGTGAGTACTTGCAAATTTTTTAGTGCTTTTTCTCATTTATGGAATAAAAGCGCTATTGTGCTCGTCATGTCCGTCCGTCCGTCCGTCCGTCCGTGACGGACAGACGGACGTGAGAAAATGCGCTCGCTGTCACACACTGCGCAGTGAGTACAGATCTAATTTTTTTAATTGTTTAGTTGGATTTATATTCATGAGACTGAATGAACATGTAATAAATCCTATACTTTATTCAGTTGAGTTCTTGAGGATTTATGGTGTTCGATTGCACGACGCTTTCCTCGGCCAAGACAAATGCTCGATCTTTTTTCACGCACCGATTGAAATGAATTACGATTTATTCTTGCGTCGATACATTTTGCATATTTTCCTGCTAGGCCGTTTGACGCTCCACGGCTTTGCATGTAACCTCACAAGAAACGAACACATAGTATTATTAAGGCATATTAAAAAAAGGCATAGAAGCTCATTAGAAATTGTAGAATTTTCACAATCACATTGAATTTTCAACGTAAGAAATTTGCGAAAAATTTGTAATTTCAAGTGGTAAAGTAAGAAATTACGTACATTATAAAAGGATTTTGCTCGTTCTTGTAATATTCATTGTACTTATTTTGTTCTTCGTATTTGAGGAGTAAAGAATGCCTGGATGTTTTAGAGGGAAGGCTTGCCTTTAACTCTCTACCGCCGAATGTCACTCTCCGGGAACATAAATTTCAACTTGAATTATATCCTTAGAACTCATCATTGGGTTAGAATCTTTACTCACGATACATCAAGTCGTCATTTTTAATCTCTTTCTGAAATGGGAGTAATTATTTGCGTTAATGAAACACGAAGCCGTTCGAAATGTGCGTGCGAGCACAATGGCTTCGGGTACTTGTAAAGCCGCCCTTTTCTGCTCAAGCGGTCGATTAGCTAGTGCATTATCCTATAATTTGGCAGTAGGGCTCGCGCTGCCTACAACACGACGAACTATATATACAACGCTTTGTCGTGTGTTGCTCGCTTTGTCGAGTGTTGCGCTCGCTTTGTCGTGTGTTGCTCGCTTTGTGGAGTGTTGTGCTCGCTTTGTCGAGTGTTGCGCTCGCTTTGTTGAGTGTTGCGCTCGCTTTGTGGAGTGTTGCACTCGCTTTGTCGAGTGTTCCGCTCGCTTTGTCGTGTGTTGCTCGCTTTGTGGAGTGTTGTGCTCGCTTTTTCGAGTATTGCGTTCGCTTTGTCGAGTTGTAGAGGGCTTGTTGTAAATTGTATTTTACTGTTAGAATATAAGGCTTCTATTAAATATATAGGTGTTGTAAATTTGTAATTAATTAGAATTAGTATTGTAAGAATGTTTTAGAGAAAGTTGGAATCGAGAATAGAAATTGCGGATTAGGAACGAGCAGTAAGAACGTGGACTTGATGAAGAAGACATCGTCACGTGTTGTGGAACGTAGCTGTTCGAACAAAGACTGTGAATTACCTGTGTGCCACATGAACCTGTGCTACGTATCCCAGTTTATGCAAAAAATCTGTAATGATGATTGATGTGCAATAAAGTATTTTAATGATTGTTGGTTTTATCACCTGGCACCAGAAACTGACACTATACGCACGACAGAGTATTGCGCTGGCATTGTCGAGTGTTACGCTCGCTTTGTGGAGTGTTGTGCTCGCTTTGTGGAGTGTTGCGCTCGCTTTGTCGTGTGCTGCGCTCGTTTTGTCAAGTGTTGCATTCGCTCTGTCAAGTGTTGCGCTCTCTTTTTCGTGTGTTGCGCTTGTTTTGCCATGTGTTGCGCTCTCTTCGTCGAGTGTTGCGCTCGCTTTGTCGGGTGTTACGCTCGCTTTAATGAGTGTTGCATTCGCTTTATCGAATTTTTCGCTCGTTTTTCAAGTGTTGCGCTCATTTTGAAAAGTGTTGCGCTCACTTTTTCGAGTGTTGCTCTCGCTTTGTATTAGACGAGTTCGCTTTGTCGAGTGTTGCGCTCGCTTTGTCTAATGTTGAGTTCGCTTTGTCAAGTATTGCGCCCGATTTATCGAGTGTTGCGCTTTTTTTTGTCGAGTGTTGTGCTCGCTAAGTCGAGCGATGATCTTGCTGTATCAAGCATGGATTGCCAAGTTCGCTCTGACATACCCTACTCGGCGCAGGGTTTGTTGAGTACTGTCCTTGCTTTGTGGATTGTTGCGCAAGGTTTTTGAGTATTGCTCTTGCTTTGTCGGGTATTGCGCTCATTGTGCTGGTTACACAGGCTTTGTCGAGTGTAATGTTCGGCTTGACGAGAACTGTGCTCGCTCTGTTGGGCAAAGCCCTCGGTTTGTTCAATTTTAATTTCGGTTTTTCTAGCGTTACGCTCAGTTAGTTGAGAGTTACGCTCGTTCCGTTGAGTATTGCGTTCGATTTTTCTATTTATATGCATTCTTTGTCAATTGTTCCGCTCGGTTTGTTTTACGTTTGCATCCGACCACAGAGGGCAACAGCCAATCTGTAAGCCACGTTATTTTATATTCCTTCACATGACTTTTCATGATATTCAAAAGGATTGCAATGTTTCGACTTGTGTGTTTAGCTAACGAAGCAGGAATAGAAAAATCGGAATAGCTGCGTAGCTTTCGATAGAATGAAGCAATCGAGGAGAAAGGCAGAATACATGATAAAATTGACAATTTTAAAAGAATATACGGAATACGGCTAATTGGTAGTTTTGTAAAGGGTTCCACTCGGTATAATAAGAGTTGAGGCCTTAATAATTAATCTGACCATGTCATGTATTATTGTCATTTTGAAATATCAAGTGACAGAGGCGCTTCTAGAACCTTTTGAATATATGCTTTCCATTTCTAGAAGAATGTCACTCGGATGTTGATTGAAGCCTTCTTTATTTAATACCTTCAAATTGATACAGATCCGAGAAAACTAAAATTCAGTATATCAGTTCTGTTGCTTATTGAAGTTATTATGTAAGGCATATATATAATGTTGCACTATGAAAAGCTTTGTTCTGCATTGAAACTTGTTGAACTGAACGCAGGACTCGGCAATGGAGGCTTAGTCATGCGTGCCGACAACTGACATGTGATCCGAATAATATAATTAAAAAACTCACAAATTAATATGATTATTGAATTTAATATTAATTAGTCGAAATTGATGTGGGGACTTGATGTGGAGATGGACTTGATATATATTCATATAGTGACTATGTTATTTTTTTCAAACTTTTGCACTTCATCAATAAGATACTCTAACTAATTGTGCTTCGATCGTAATTTTTCACTAGACTGAAATAGGCTCTCAGACGAGCGATTGAATCTGCGGAATTTTCAGCTTTTATAACATAAAAAATTAAACATTCATCGACAATATTGTATAATGTTATTTTCATAACAGTAAACAATGAAACAGTAAACAAATTATTCAGGTTATTTTATAGACGCGTTATGGCAGTCGTTAATCTAAAACCATTTTGTACCAGAAGTGACGAGCTTCAACCTGCCATTGGACTAGCGGTCATCAAATTGGTGAAATCGATCGTTGATGGATTCTGATCTCAGGAAGAAATCTCAGTAGGTATTGAACCTTCAAAGCTTAATTTCACTAAATTACTTATTACAAAATAAATAAAAATGTTTGAATGAGATTCATTGCGTTATTATTTGTATCGAATTTACGGGACCGACCGCTGCTGGCGCTGCGTGGGTGTTGTGTGGACTGAAAAGTACAGAGGGTGGGGGAAAAACACGACGCAGCTGGATGAGTTTTCTGTTAAACTTTTCTAACAATTCCTAATATGCAAATGAGGAACATATATTTTTCAGTTGATGATAATAGTATGAAACAAATTTTCATGTGTATGTTACTTGTGTCTGGAGGGTTTGAAGTTTGAAGACTGCTTAGGATCTTCGTTTTCTATATAAAAGTTCGTGGCAAATATTAGCAAGTCAGCTTGCTGTACAGCTAGCATCTCATTCAACTTCAGTATCTCATTTACCAAAATATTACTCATCAAAAATTGGACTAAATGATGCAAGAAATTCAATTTCATTGGAGATTGTTTTTGATGCATTCATTATCTTTGCAGAATTATATTTACACCTAACTATGAAAGAGCTGTACAATGTTAAATTAATGTCGTTACTTTTCAAATGTGTAGAAAACGAACTTCCAACACAGCTTAAATCCATTTCTTTTTAAAAGATGATCCACTCTCTATGACTTTAATTTGAATATCTGATTTAAATTTTAATGAGAACTTCAAATGCATATCCTGGCAAAAGATCAGGTTAGCATTGAGGCATGAAATGACCAGACCGATCTTTAAATTGGTCAGATGTAGACCTCTTAGATTTGCGGAGTTATTTTTAGGTGGTATTTTAATTTGAAATACGATAATTTGATCATTTTATCGCTTGTGTATTTTTTCTTTCTGAATTATCCTTGACTAATTACGTCCTTAGCGAATAAATTTCTTTTGAGATTCTTTGTAATGTTTTTAATTATAGCGAAAAAATATCGCACAAAATTTACTACAATATAAGAAACAATTTCAAAAAATTTATAGCTCTTCAATTTAAAATTCTTCGTTGTTGAATCGATCCCACGTTATTAAGTTGTGATTTCTGACGCAAGTGATCGCATTAAGCCTAATGTACTAAGAATCCAATCATCGAAGCCAGCTTTAAAATACACATCAAACTAATATGAAAATCTAGGAACAATACTACTGTATACAATGGAAGATGAAGTCAGTAATCTCAAACTTTTTCCTAAATTCAAAACTGTAATAGAGTGCAAATTGAATTCATGGAATAATGAAGGAAATAAATGAAAATCTTAATCTTCTTCAGAGCTCTTGGCTAATCAAATTTCGACAGCCCCAATGTAACCGTGCGCTGACTAACATTTAATTAAGGACTAAAGTTAATCAATTCTTATTATTGAGAAAAAATCACTGACCTTCCTTTTACTCCTGGCGATTCTGTCGTGCCTGGCGGGCGTCTCTCCCAGCGACTTCTTGCCCCATACTACAATGCCGATCCTTGTGTAGGTGAAGATAAGCACCGCGACCGGCAACACGTACTGCAGCAACATCAACGTGGCCGAATACGACGCCTGTCTTTGCTCAGAACCTTCCCCCCAGTCCTCCATGCAGACCTTCAGCTCGTAGATCTTGTAGTAGTTATCGTCAGGTTCTTTGAGCTGTGAGAAGACTGCGAGAGGGGCGGTGGTGACGAGAGCGAGTACCCACACCAGCCAGATGATGACGCGTGCTTGGAGCCTCGTCATGCGCGGACGGAGCGGGTAGATGATGGCAAGGTAGCGGTCTATGCTGATCGCCACCAGCGAGTACGCTGACACGAATACCGTCACGCCCTGCGATGCAATGGGCGTCTTAAATTGATCAAAATTAATATCAAGTAACAGTTTTAACCCACCACAACCCACCACGGGAAAAATAACAAAAATTAATATCAAGTAACAGCATTAACACTTCACGGGAAAAATGGCAGCAAGACTCTTGAATAGTAAAACGATTTGTGTAAAAACCAAAAATTTGTGGTAATTAATAGAGAATAAAATACGGAACATTTGAACATTGTTATCTGCTGCCTGTTACGAATTAATGACGTCTTTGGATTTGATTCATTTCTCAGAAGCCTCTTTGCTATCAAAGCGTACAGAAAATTCGAAGGCTTTTTTACGAACATAATGCCCATACGCTGAAAAACCGAGTATGCTTATGCTTTATTACCATGGTTACCTTCGTTACTCTTATTCTCGTATGCATATAAGTTAGGTAAGTGATTGGCTCCTCACTGAATTTAAATTTATTTCTTTTTTTGACAGTGATGTACGGTTATTTGTAGAGATGCAAATTCCTAATTAAATTTCATCAGACAATGCTTTGACGTGATTAAAGCAACAGGCCATGGTTGTCTGATGGCGGCAGGAGGAAAAAAAGCCAAAACAACCGCGATTCAATATTTATTAGTACATTTAAAATATGCGCTGCCAAAATTTAATTTCAAGGGTCTCCAGACTTCAGAAATTACATTGAGTTTACAGCTTTTATGTATTTAGTCAATTTAGCCAAATATAAATAGAAAGCCAATTCAGCCAAACTTGCTGCAGACTACATTATAATGAGCACTTGCCTCATTTACAAAGGTCTAAATTTATGTATGTCAATCAACTCCCGCTCTGCAGAATAGACCACTAAGTTACGTCGGATCAAACTGATAAAAACTACATAAATAATAGTCAAACATGTTTATTCATATGAAACTTTGCCGGCCCCATCAATCCCTAAAAATATTCTACCTGATCTCCTCCGCCTCTGTTCTTCAAAATCGCCTTTCCGGACTCCAGATAATAAAATATATCAGCAAATTAACGGTGTAGCCAGGGGAAGTCCTCTTGGCCCAACATTCGCCGAATTCTACATATGCAAACTTGAAAACCGAGTGTTGTTGGATTCACGGATTAAACCCGACCTTTACTGTCAATATGTCGATGACATCTATGCCATCCTTCGCGACGAAGATCACATGATGCAGCTGAGCGTGACTTTAGAACTAAATTCTGTTTTGACGTTCACTTATAAGTTCGGACAAATTCACATGTTGCCTTTTCTGGACACACTGGTGCAATATGATAATAATTCGTTCAACACTAAAGTTTATCGTAAGCCTTCAGACGTCGTAAAGTTCTTGAAGGAAGACAGCGAATGTCCCCAGCGCTACAAAGTCAGCACCATATGCGCCCTCGTACACCTAGCGTTCAAAACATGTGCATCCGCTCGTGACTAGAAAACTGAACTCCGGACCTGCAAGCAAACTCTTGTAAGCAACAGTTATGCAAACAAAACTATCAACACAGTAACTTCAAATTTTCGAGCACGTCAAACCCGAACAGATGAATCCACATAAAAAGACGGCGTCACAAGAATTTACTACCAAAACCAGATGAACAGCGGTTATAGGACAGATGAAAGAGTTGTCAATTCAATTGTGCAAAATAACATAAGCAGCACTACAGTAACTGACCAGATAAAACTCCTTGATTTACTACAATAACAGCAAAATTTAGAATTTAATCATGAAAAATTACCCATGTAAAAAATTGAGACCACTGCACGAAACCAATGTGTTTTTTTTTTACAATTCCCCAGTACGAAAGAAGGTTGTAGACTTCTCGAAAATGTAAATTATATTGGTTTGACCAGCACGACCCTGAGCCGCCGATTCACATGCCACCTACAAACTGGAGGACCAAAGAATCATATGCGGGAGGCTCGTAACATAACCATCACCCGCGCGACGTTGGAGGCCTGCACCAGCATCATCACGCGGTGCACCGATACTGCATGACTGGCGATAGCAGAGGCTCTCATCCTCAAGGATGAGTCCCCAGCTATCAATTTGCAAACCACCGGATTTGCCAGGACATTGAAGTTGATCTCGAAGTAATTTAAGTTTTTATTTCGAACAGTAACTACGATACCCTTTGTATGCACTTATGTCATTTCCAAATTTCAAGTGATTTAAAACTCTTCACCTACTTGAGAATGAATATTGAATATTTGGAAAGGCTTTTTGCAGTAATATGTCATTTGGTAACCTGCTCTTCGACCTCCCAACACCAGTAAGAAATTTTGTTTTGCTTATTAAAAAAATAAAAAAATAATTAATAAAAAGCATTCTCTGGTCTTCAATCAAACCTGCATAAATGTAGATAACTTCTGCCTAACTACACTAATATCCTAATGATTGAATGTGCACGACCAGTGCATGAATGAGGGAATGTACTTGTCACAGTGCATGAATGATTGAATGTGAATGACTCAGTATAATGTTAGCAGGTAAACTTTCATGGATGTAATTAATTCCTCCTGCAATAACAAGTCATGGCTGTAAGATTTCCATTCCATTTATTTACATTAGCCTGCGCGTTTGATTTAATGCGCTGTCGCTCTGTTATGCCAGAGCAACAAAAAATAATAATATAATTCCCCGTTATCCAAGAATGCATTTGGAAGACCAACTTCATCGCCAAATAAAAAATCCCGGATTATGAATATAATCCATTCATATAACAGTTTCCTGCTTGATAAACACTAAACCCTAAATTTTTCATTATTTGTCACTTGCTTGAATTTCCCCGAATAATTGAAATGAAACAAGGGCAGAAAAAGTGAACAAAAATTTTGAGAATTTGCTCCGAGTTTTCTGTATCAGGAGGGGATTAGTAAATAAGCGGTGAGGGTTCTAACAATCTTAACTCTCGCTCCATTATTATTTTCCACGAATAATTAAAAATTCAGATTCGGTGACACAATAAATGAGGGTATGATGGCAACGAGATTGCCAAAGATTTAATTCATGCATTTACCTGCATGGCCATCCGTTGCGTTACTTGTTACAAATAAATATCTCTTTATTTCGTGAAGTGAGTACTTGCAATTTTTTAATAATTAGTTGTATTTGTATTTATGAGACTGAATGAACGGGTAATAAATCCCATACTATATTTAGTTGAGTTCTTGAGGATTTATGGTGTCCCATTGCACGACGCTTTCCTCGGCCAAGACAAATGCTCGATCGGCTTTTTTCACGCACCGATTGAAATGAATTACGATTTATTCTTGCGTCGATACATTTTGAATATTTTCCTGCCAGGCCGTTTGACGCTCCACTGCTCTTTATCCTAACAAGAAACGAACTCATAGTAAAAAAATTAAGAATTAAAATTTTTAAGAACAGATTGAAAAGCTCAAAAGAAATTGTAACATTTTCACAATCACTATAAAATTCGAAGATAGAAAATTTGCGAAAAATTTGGAATTTTAAGTAATTGAGGAAGAAATTATGTACATTATAAAGGTAGTTTCTCGTTCTTTTAATATTCATTGTACTTTTTTAGTACTTGGGATTTGAGGAATAAAGAATGCCTGGATGTTTTAGAAGGAAGGCTTGCCTAAATAACTCTTTCAGTTCATGTGCACTTGAAATATTCAATCTTTAGGTATTTGCTCCTTAGTCCGTTTTTTCGGTTCTTTCTAAGTGATGTTAAAGCTGGTCTCCGAAAAATTTTCAATAAAGATATAATTAATTTAATTTGTGTTTTCTTTCATTTTAAATGTGTAGTGAATCATTATTCAAATCATTTCCAAATGAAGGCAATAGAGATCAGAAGACCCTAACTATATTTTATCATGACTCAGCGGAAGAAAATGTAACCCTGAGGGATGTGCCAAGAGTCTCATAAAGACCATTGAGCGTTGATGCTGCTGCATGGCAAAGATTGGGCAGATTTAGGAGGACTTCGTCGCAAAATGTGTCATTAAATTTTTTTTGCCTCGTTGACTGCATTTCACTGGCTTTCACAAAGGTTGGTATCTCAATTGGACGAGCCAGACTCAATATTCCTAAATTTCTTGCACCTTTATTTCAATTATTCCATCCCAACAGACACGGTTTGTAAATAAATAAGATTAACTCTGTAGGGAGCGTCAACTATATCTACATATATCTTGTGTCTCGGTTATTTTCGACTTCACTTCTATATTGTTAGCCACGGTTTGCGTGGAGACTGAAAACATTCGTGCCGTCTGGGATCAAACTGGGACGGAAAGTTGGAATGTGCCCGTAGCGGCTGTGCCTTCCGTAGTAAGGTCATAACATCGAATTTCAATGTGGAAGTTCTTATATTGCCGCCCGAGAGCATCCGGGGACAATTCTTGTCATTTAATGCGAGAAAAAACTTGGGAAACAGATCAAAATTAAATGAGGAACAGAACCCAGTTTCATGTCATTTTCAATTCGAAGTTATAATTTCGACTTGGATATTCGTTGCAAATCATAAGATAATGGAAATGCGGTACACGAGGAGGGACGAATTTTGTATACAGTATTCATCGGGTTCCAGAGGACGTTTGAATTCAATAATCGACTGTACAGCCTTCGAGAAGATCGGTAGATTCCATGCATTGATGTTTTTCATTACGCGAAAGAGAAAATAATTTGTGTCTAAATTTAAATTCACATTTATTTGCGCCCGAGCAAAAAAATGTGCTGCTGTATAATCCCGTTTTATTCTTTACATTCGACGTTGTTAACAATATCCACCATCTCGATAATATCCACCGCTTGCGACAAATTTCCACGTTGTTAACTGTAGGATTTAATAATTCCGAAACCCTAAACCTTAACCGGCATCACAGCCTTCGAGAAGAACGGTAGATTTAATTCATTCATGTTTTCCATAACTCGAAAGAGAAAATAATATGTGTATAAGTTTAAATTTATATGTATTTACGCCCGAGCAAAAAATGTGCTGGCACATTATACCGTTTGCTTCTTCACATCACACCT